TTTCATCTGTCGAACCCCAACAGTGAAAAGGCTGTGGCTTTAATGGATCGTTTGGTTGCATTTATCACTACTCCATAGTGGATTTGGAATTAGCGAAATACCACACAAAACCATTTTGTCGGAATTTTTAATCGTAAATTATCTATTATACATTACTTTATACGTCTATTTACGGTAAAAAAATCCCGACAAAATGAACTGTAACGGGACTTTAGCGTTTTTCGTTTAAGTAATAATGACTCTCAATTAAGTTTAATAATACCTACTTTTAAATTGAAATATTATAATATAAAAATAATGTAATCAAAATGAGAGTTATAGCTTTACTATATGTTTTCGTGAAAAAAATTCTGGCTTTTATTTAGTGCGCATCAAGTCATTTGTGCTCTATATTTGCCAAAATTTTGATAGATTTTTTCAATTTGATGTGACTTCATTATGTTTGATTGCATATATTGTTCAGAATTTTATATTAAATGAGATGATGAAACATTAAATGAGGAATATGTAATATTGTTTACGATTATTTTGGATCAAGTACCCTCTCTCTTCTCTCGTGTTTTTCCTCAAAACGAAAAAAAAAGAGAGAAAAAATCCTTCTTCCGATGTACCTGCCTCCCTTCCGCCGGGCTCCTCTGGCTGCCACGGTCGGAGATGCCCTCCTCTGGGGTGTCGGTGCGGCTCCTGTTTAGACGCCTTCCCCAATTTTACCGGTGCGTTGTTGTTCCTCTTCAGGGCGCCTGGGGGGAATGGGGTGGGTCTCGTCTTCTGCGCGATGAGTTGGCCGACTTCGGTTCCACTATATATTTGAAATTTACCTATAACCTATCAACTAATTTATCAACTATTAGCTAAATTTACTTATAAGGTATCGACTAAATTATCAACTATCAACTAGTTTTCACCTACATTTACAAAACATACTACTTGTAAATATGCTTTTATAAAAAACTAGTATTCGACCTGTGCATTTGCACAGATGTAAATAAAGTATTGTGAGTTATTTGTATGTATATAATGATTAATTAATTTTCTTTCACTTTTTGCATGCCAAATTTACAAATAAAGAAGTTGGAATATTTACTTTTTTTTTTTAAATTGCGTTTATCTGATTGGATGCAATGTATATTTTGTTATGTCTTTTTTTTTGAATTATTTATCATTTATTTAGGAATTTCAAATACGTTTTTAATTTTAAAAAAAAAATTAAATATAACCACAATAATAACATCTAATCACATTGTACGATCAACACATTATATGGTCAGTTGTCACTAATAAAAAACTTAAAATGATTTTTGTAATTTTGATGTGATTAGTATTGATTATTTAATAATTAAATGAAAGATTAAATACATAAAGAGTAACGGTTTTTGGAGGGAAAAGTATTAAATTGCCACATAGGTAAAATTAATTAGGTTTTATTAAATGCTATTGACTAGTAATTATATATATATAGATAACTGGTTACTGGCTAGAACATTCTACAACTTTCTAAGGTTTTTTGCGTTTTGATCATTAACACTTCTCTAGCAGTACACAAGCACGCTCGAAATGATTTCTCCATTGTAGAAAGAGTATCATATAACGAGACAATCTAAGAAAATAGCCATGTGTCTTTTTAAATGTTCACCTCGTTTAGTCAAACAAAAAATAAATATAAATAAATAAAATTGAGAAATGAACTCTCATATTTTATTTCATTGTTATCATCTAATAATGTCTTCTTTTTTATAAACGTCAAACAACCAAATAATTTGATTCCCCAACCCCCTCACATTCAAATATACGGTAATAATTTGTTTTTTAACATTCAAAGCAAGAAAAAAAAAAGGAAGTGTCTTTTTTTTTCCCCTCTTAATTCAACTTGTTCATTTTTTTTTTTTCTCTAAATACAAGTACTAAGCATGCTTAGTGTTGTACCTACTTGCCAAACCTCCTAGATGACCACCATGCCCCTTCCCAAAACCCTCCTCCTCCAATACTCCTACCTCACCTTTCACCTCCTCTCGGCGGCCACGGCCGCCGAGACCCAGCCCGGGCCCACCACGAAGCCCTCGCCCATTTTCTACGAAATCGACCCCTACATCAAAGTTTTCGAAAACGGCACCGTACAAAGACTATCCGGAACAACAACTATGCCCGCCTCATTCGACAACGTAACCCGAGTCCATTCCGTAGACATACACATCCCCCAAGCCCAAGCCAAAGAACCCAACAACATCACGGCCCGACTCTACCGGCCCGCAAACTCCACCGCCAAGCACAAACTCCCGCTCGTCGTCTATTTCCACGGAGGCGCCTTCCTCACGGGTTCCGCTTTTTCTCCCGCCTACCACAACCACCTCAACTTCCTCGTCGCAAAAGCCAACGCCTTAGCCATATCCGTGAATTACCCTTTGGCCCCCGAGCAACCCCTCCCGATCGGCTACCAAGACTCTTGGCACGCACTAAAATGGGTATTCTCTCACTTGAGAGGCGGTAATGGCGGCGGCATTGGCGGCGGCGAGGCGTGGCTCGAGAAGTACGTCGATTTCGAGCGGGTTTATTTAGTGGGGGATGGTGCCGGTGCGAACATCGCGCACAACATGGCGATTCGGGTGGGGACAGACACGACAGACGGGATTAGGATAAACGGGATGTTTCTAAATTGCCCGTTTTTCTGGGGAGAGGAACTGCTCGGGAACGAAGCTAAGTACCCTAGGAAGGTTGCTTGGGTGGAGAGCATTTGGAAACACGCGTACCCGAACTCGACGGGTCTTGATGACCCGTCGTTGGACCCGGGAAATGATTCGAATTTGTCACGTCTCGGGTGCGAGAGGGTATTGGTTTACGTAGCCGAGAAGGATATACTTCGGGATAGAGGGTTGCGTTATGAGGAGGTCTTGGAGGAGAGTGGATGGGAAGGAAATGTTAGTGTTGTGGAGGTAAAGGGGGAAGATCACATCTTTAATATAAAATTTCCAGATGATCCAAAGGCTGGGATTATGCTTGAACAGTTGGCTTTGTTTCTGGATCAAGGCAGGGTTGGGGATGACGGTTTGAGCTCGAACATGGTTGGTCCGGCATGGCCCACTCCAGCAGTGTCGGCCCAAATTCCACCGATCCCGAAATTCATTGGGGCCGGTATGAATCTTGGCCCGCCGTGGCTGTTCTTATTTTTGTTCTTAATATATGTGACTTCTACACTTGATGCATATTGTAATGTGATTAGTATGTGACTAATTTTTTTTTTTTTTTTCTTCTGTTATATGTATCATTGATAGTGGGTTTGTTCTTTTCTGAACAATGTACATTAATCATTAAGGGATTTGATGGATGTTGAATATGTGATATTATTGTTTATATTTTAGTATTGGGCTATGATGGTGTATTTTAAGGGAGATGCTACACTTCCGTTACGGAACCATTCTGTCGGGTTTGTAACGGTTAGATCATCATGTAACCATCGAGAATAGATGATCTAACGGTTACAAGCCTGACAAAATAGTTCTGACCGTAGTATTTCCCGTATTTTACTATTGTTGGAGCAACATTTCTTTATTTAACCTTACAAATGCCAACCTCGATTATTTTAATAGGATTTATTATTCGTATTTTTAGTTATTTTCTTGAAGGTTTTTATTAATTTTAATTTTTAAGCATCAAAAGTTTAGGCAACTGACACACTTTATTCATAATAACTGTGTTCTATCCATCTCTTTTCTTCTTGCGTATGAATTGAGTTGATATTGTGGCACTACTCACTAGATATAAACTATTTTGTAAAAGAACAAAATGTTTGAATAGAAAATTGAATTAAAGATTAATAATAATAATTTTTTTTTTTTAAAATAATGAAATATTTTGTGATTGTGAACATAAATTAGATAAAATGTAATGACAAAAGTTGATATGATAAAAAAAAATTATAAAATAATAAATATAAATAATTTTTGTTAAAATTATGCGAGGTAATAAATAGACAATTTTGTCGAAATATGTGCAGTAGCTTTAATTTTTGTTGACTGTCCAAACTCCAAACTACTTAAGTGGAGAAAGTATATTTTATATAACAAATTCTAGTCGATTAACCCCATCGAACATGATGAGAATATTTCTTATAACAAGAAAAAGAAAATAAGCATGATGAAAATTAGGTGGTTCAAGACTTATAACTTAAATGCAGAAAGGATGCTTTGAGATTTTTGCACGCCATAATCATGACTCAAAACTAGCTTAGTTAGTGCAACTTTGTCATACATTTTTGGTGCCTTTGCAAGGTGATAAAAGCTTTCAAGGAACAATACTTGCTATAATTATGTTTAGAAACAATAATTGAGGCTAAACTAGTTTTCTTTTTGGACTAAATTTGTCACTATAATTATACAAACTAGTGTGGAGCCTGTGCGATGCACGGGATGCACAATTTTAAAGCTGTTTATCTAGGCTTATTATTATATTCATGAATAAAGAAAAATGTAAACTGATCTTTTTAATTCCAAAATAATAGTATCGATTTTTAAATAGTTGACATTTGAGATTTTAAATAATAAAATTTGATATTCGGAAAATCATATTTGATGTATAAGTTAAAATTCGTTGCAATTAGGAAAAAAATCAGATTTTATATATAATAGATTAGATTTTTATAGTGACCAAATTAGAAGTACTTTTAATATTTAAATTTGAAATTCAAAATGATAAATGATTTTGTATGCATTCAGATTTTTTCGAATAAATAATGAGAAGGAAATTTGAATGAAAAAACGTAAAACTAATAGATTTTATGACAATTGTTTGGAAATTTTTTTTTTAAAAAAAAAACTAACAGAATTCGGGGTCCAATTTATTGGGCAAGAAATTTAAAAAACTGTGGAAAATAGAATACATTAAATGATTGTTGACTTTTTTTGTTGCTATCTTTAATAAATAAGTTGTCACTTTATATATTTATCGATTTCAGTAATGCTCCCCTACCCACGGCGGGCACATCTTAATATGTCCACTGCTTATGTGTCAAACACACATTGGTAATGTATTTTTTTGAACATATTAACATGACCAATGTGTGCATGTCACATAAGCGGTGGGCATATTAACATGTGTCTACTGTGGGTAGGAGAGTATTACTCTTATAGATTTACGAGCAAGCACGATAACTCTTTTACTTCATTTATTCTTTAATAAGATGGGATCTTTTTGCTTATGTCCCATATAAATAACCACATATAGAGAGAGAGAGAGAGAGGAAAAAGAAAAGAATTTGATCAATCAGTTTTGTTTTTCATTTCTAAAGCAACCCACATACACACACACAAATACACACACACACACACACACACACACAAAATTGTGATACTTGAAAGTAGAAATACCTCGTAAGAAGTCGAATAGCATCCTCACTCAAACTCTCTCCACATTGAAGCCTTTGCAATTACACCTTTTAACACCCTTCACATTCATAGAGCTTGAGAACTCGAGTATTTCTGGGTGAACCAAAATCAAGAATGAGGGAAACAAGCTGATCCCAACTAAGAAACGAACCTGCTTTGACTGCTCGTTCCAAAATGTGAAAAATAGCTTTTCCAAAGCTCCCGGACGATTGGTAGTAAAGCACAATCCAGAATCACACCAACAAGAATACTCTTATAATTAATGCTGTAATTATAGCAAATCCAGTCTTCCTAAGAAGCAAATGGCTAATCAGTACACAGTAAGAAAGCATTTAGCAAAATTATAAAGACTCACTTTTTTCTTCTGCAAGCGCGGTAGATCCGGTGATGTTCTTTTCTTTACCACTGCCCTCTTAAACTCTTGAAAGTTTGCTCGCGCATTATCACACGAGGGGCTTTGAATACAATTCCCTAAAGTTTGCATTAAAATCAATGCCTAGTAGGAAGTGCAAAAAATAGAAAATCCGATTGGATAATGCTTGTGGTTTCTGGAGGGAAGTGTCAGCCAGAATCTTATACAAGGTGACTGTAAGTAAAAGATGAGTTGTACAAGAGTGAGTTTTATACATTCATCATATATACAAATATGCTAGTCTCTCAGAAAATAACTTCGAAGCTATTACTATCCACATCACTGGCAGAAATCTCATCCCCCAATAATATCCATGCAGAGATTTCATCTCACAAGTTAGGAATCGACACATTCACCACTTCACATCTGCCTTAACTTAATGTACTCATTGCATGTCATAATCCCCAATAATTTGTCTCACGGATGGATACCCACGAAAATTACCCTATTGTATATTCCGAAATACCATGGTCCTCAAAACTTCCTCCAATTTTCAGCGGCAAACATTTCCATCTTTGTTTCGCGCACATTCCTCTTTTTATCTTATAGTCTTGATTTAAGTTTCATGCCTCTAAACGGTGGCCTCTTGCGAACAGAAGCAAACGGCTCCCCATTCAAAGACCCGGAGAATTTAATATCCCATCCCTCAACATTTTTTGGTACACACGCGTCAAAAAGCGCTTGGCCGAGAACACTATTTGCACCCATACAAGGAGGACTTGAACGATTAGGTGACCTCTCTTTGCTTTCTTGTTGTACAGACCCATATTCTTTGTTGTTTTGGTAACATGTTGAGCTTGGTAGGAAAAAGTGATCGTTTGGCCCGACAGCGACTCTTCTGAAGCTCTGATTCGAGTCCACTGCCGCATTCTGGAGATCACATATCAAATTGGATATTTTATTATGCATGTCGTCCATGTAAGACTTCTCCCCGAGATTCTGTATTTTCTCAGAGAAAATTGAAGTAGCCTGCTCAAGAAACTCGGTTATGGCAGTTGTATACTGTATTGATTGATGCTTGATAAGACCTGTCGTAGGCAAATAGCACGAGCAAGTTGGGATTAGGATGTGAACAAAAATATGCACTAATTGTAGCAATTAGCAGCAGAAGAAAAACATTATGTCTCATTTGACAAAGAAAAAAAACAAAAGAAAAAAAATGGAAGCAATAGTACTTACTCTCATATTTATATTTGTTTGCCGTATGGAACAGAACTAAAATGAATTCAAATTCTAAGAATAGAGAGAACTTAGGCCTAACCTGCACTACATGTCACAACTTTTACATAACCGCCTAAATCCTGTAAACGCTGAGCAAAGTTGGTCGAGGTTGAAAGTGGAGCCACCTCATCATTTTCCGAGCATAAAATAAGAAAGGGGGCACCTAAACCCTGTATAAATGAATTGAAGGGTTAAAATGCTGAGACAGATGTGATATAACTTAAAGAAGAAAGAACAGTATTAATGTGATAAGAAAACAACATGCTATTATTGAAGCTTACAACTGAGGAATAAAGGGTTTGCCAGTAATCTGCACGTTGGGATCCAAATCTGGTGATAAATAGAGCATCCAAGCTTGAGGTGACACCTTTAGCAAACAATGAAATCAGCTTTGATGATCCCGGAAATTTGAGGATAGAGCGGTGCAGAGAAAACCGGGCACCCAAATCAGAAGTAAATTCAATAGGATCGGAATCATAAATCTGCCCTGAGATGCAACTGACAAGTAACCTATTGTCCTCCTAGGAGACATAAATGTCATTAGTGCCATGTGTTCATTTAAGTTTAACCATGACAATGATTATTTATTGAAGTACAAGGAAAAATTTACCAGACAGAGCTCCAAATCTGAACAACCTTGTATGATCTGCACAACATAAAAGTTAGTTAACTCTATTAGTAGACTGGTCTAAGGAGCATAACTGAAACATCACGTACCTCAAATCAATGGATTATCAGAAACAAAATGCACGGAACAGTTATGTCATATGTAATGTGTGTAAATTGAGATCACCTCAAATATACTGATTTACCTGGAGAACCTTATACATGCAGGCTTTAGAACCACCAGAAAAGGATAACAGTACTACAGGGCATAATCCACATCTAAGCTCCTACACATACAGAACACGGAAGATTCAGCAAAAGAGCAACAGATACAGGCAATAGACTAGTAACCAGTCAAATCTATTTAACTTTAATCAGACATATTACAAAAGCAGCTATCACCAGTAAAATCTTTTTCAAATATTAGAAAAGACATTGAAATTCCCAATATCACAGAAAAGAGAGATAACGATCATACTCTGTATAATTCATGTTTTCTAAGGCTTGGGCACAGTGAAAGAACCATTAAGGAAATAATATTAGTGAATAAAAGGTGATTAATCAAATCACTATTGTTCAGCTAGCTACCATTTTCACACACAATAAGCATGTTAAGAAGACAAACCTTGACAAGCTCACCAATGACGGAAAAGGCCAGTGATGTAGCTCTCTCGGAAATGAACCTGAGAAATGAAAAAACCACTAAAACTCATACCCATGAATAGAAACAGGTTAAGAGGCAAATCCAGATAAAATATCATAAAAGATAGGCATGCATATTAGTCATATTGGCACATCCATTGCATCACAATTCACATGGTTTCACTTAGAAGCTCACTCTCATATAACTCTAGTAACAGTTGTCTAATTAGATTTAACCATGCACAAGTATTCCAAATCTACAATGATCACCACATATTAACCATTTTCTCCAGTCCAACATGCAATAACTCTATTGTGGGCAAGTTTGGCCCACGATGAACTCTTTTCATCCACAACAATGCAACAACCTTGATACTTAAAATTGTCAAACACTGGCACTACCTTATGTTGTTTTCATTGACAAATACAACTAAGCTTCTCAACAATATCTAGACTCACTAAAAATTGTGCAACCAAAATATGAAGCATGAGCCAAATCAATAAAATGCATCTGAAATTCAGAAGTATGAGCTACATCTATCCATTTCACCATGCCTACTCGTCTCAAATCCACAACGATCGTCAATTGATCCCCCATTTTCTCCCATCAACATGCAGTAACTTTCCAGTTTGCAATTTCGATCCCAGTAAGCACTCTTTCCATCCACAACAATCTAACGGCCTTGATTCTTAAAATCTACTTAAACAGGTAATTCTCTGTACTGTTGCATATATACTATATACGCACACACACTTC